GATAGCTGTTGGGCTGGAATACTTTCTAATGGTAACTACCTTAAATTTAGACTAAACATTGGGAAAACTTTGAAAACGCCAAACGAATCAGCTCATTCCGGCGAAACAAAGTTGCGCGGGTACGCGGCCGCGCAGCTGTTTTTATATTCTGCACACAATGGGCTTGCTCAACATTCTTTTCATTTCATTTTATAAAAGAATTGCGTCTTCCAGAGTCATTAGATATTTTTTTCCCCCTGATGGGAGAGACGTGAAAAATGAGCAATGCCATCGCCAGGACTCGAACCTAGACCTCTCGTATACACGATGAGTGTGCTACCGTTACACCACGAAGGCGTCCAAAAAGGTGGAAGAAAATATATTATATTCTTCCAACTTTAAAAGGCCACTAGGAATTAGGGGACCCAATAGCCAAATCTTGGTGGTGAAGAATCATTGTCTACCATCCTTTTGAATCAAGCGCCACTGCAGAAACATTAGGTTATTATTTTGAAGCAGGAGACATGAAAAATGAGCAATGCCCTCGGCAGGACTCGAACCTTGACCTCTCGAATACGCGCCGAGTGCGCTACCGTTTCACCCCGAAAGCATGCAGAAATGAAGAAGAAAATTCCTTATATACTGCTCCTTTTAAAGGGCGACTAGGGATTAGAGGCCAAATCCTGGTGGTGAAGAATCATCATTCACCACCTTTTAGTTCAGGTGCCTCTGTAGCGTTATTAGATTATTTTGAAACAAGAGACATGGAATATATGCAATGCCCTCGCCCTATCTTAAATTCTCAGTATTTTAAAAATACATACAAAAATATCTGCGCATCTAAAATATTGATAAAAGATTACTTGCTAAAAATCCTGTAACTAACTAAATACAAATATATACACTGCAGTGACAAAAGTCATGGGATAGCAATATGCAAATATATAGATGGCAGTAGTATCGCGTAGAAAATGTATAAATGCGAAGTGCTTTGGCAGGGCTTTCATTTGTGTTCTCATGTGAAGAGGCTTTGACGTGATTATGGCCGCAAGACGAGAATTAACAGACTTTGAAAGCGGAATGGCAGTTGGAGCTAGACGCATGGGTCATTCCATTTCGGATATCGTTAGGGAATTCAACATTCCGAGATCCACAGTGTCAAGAGTGTGCCGAGAGTAACTAATTTCAGGCATAACATCTCACCATGGACAGCGCAGTGGCCAACCACCTGCACCTAACGACCGAGACCAGCGACGTCTGCGCAGAGTTGTCAATGTTCACAGACAAGCAACACTGCGTCAAATAACCGCAGAAATCAATGTGGGACGTACGAGGGACGTGTACGATAGGACAGTGAGGCGAAATTTGTCTTCCTTGGGCTATGCCAGCAGAAGACCGACTCGAGTGCCTTTACTGACAGCACGACATCGCCTGCAGCGACTCTCGTGGGCTCGTGAGCATATCGGTTGGTCCCTAAACGAATGGAAAACCGTGGCTCGGTCAGATGAGTCACGATTTCAGTTGAAAAGAGCTGATGGTAGGGTTCGAGTGGGGCGCAGACCCCACGAAGCCATAGACCCAAGTTGTCAACAATGCACTGTTCAAGCTGGTGGTGGTTCCATAATGGTCTGGGCTGTTTTTACATGGCATGGACTCGGTCTTCTGGTGCAACTGAACCGATCATTGACTGGAAATGGATACCTTCAACTACTTGGAGATCACTTATAGCCATTCATGGACTTCACGTACTCAAGCAACGATGGGATTTTTATGGACGACAATGCGCCATATCACCGGGCCACAATTGTTCGCGATTGGTTAGAAAAACATTCTGGACAATTCCAGCGAATGATCTGGCCACCTAGATCGCCCGACATGAATCCCATCGAACATTTATGGGACATCATCGAGAGGTCAGTTCGTGCCCAAAACCCTGCACCGTCAACACTTTCACAATTATGAACGTCTATAGAGGCAGCAAGGCTCAATATTCCTGCAGGGAACTTCCAACGACTTCTTGAGTCCATGCCACGTCGAGTTGCTGCACTTCGCCGGGCAAAAGGAGGACCGACAAAATATTAGGAGGTATCCCATGACTTTTGTCACTTCAGTGTAAATTATAATGATATTTCGCGATGCAGCGCTCTCTGGTAATTTTCTAGAATTTCAAAACTGCATTTCCGGAGTCCGCAGATTATCAAATCTTAGAATAAATAGTAGATACATGCACAACTTTTATTTGCAGGCATTTTTTTAAATACCAGTTTCATTCATTTATATTTCATTTAATGGTTATGATTAATAAATATGAGCCATGTTTAAAAACGCATTTTCCCCCCATTCAATGCTTCTTCACATTTTCACTACAATTTATGCAAGAAAATGTATACTGTTTTTGTCAATAACTTAATAAGGTTAAAACTCTTTACTGTAATGAAACACAACCCGCGGCTCGGTTTAAAATGTTTTCATTTCCTTTTAAATTTAAATTGCTAAGTATTCACAAGATTTAATATGCAATTCAATATTCAAAATATGTTTTTCAAAGGTTGGGGGCAAATCACCAACTGGTTATCGAAAGACCGCTGTTAAAGTGCAGAGGCTCATTGATTGACTTTAAGATAAAGCACACGAAGACTATCTCCAAGGCAAGAACGACTTTGTGGAGGACTTCCCAAAGAAAACGGGTTCATATTCCCGTTATACATGGAGAAAGCCACAAAAATGACCATTATCAGTCCGCTAAATTCCAATTCGGATCGGGCCCAACGGTAAAGCCGCTGAACACTGGTAGTTCGGTACGAGGTTCGAATCCCACAAACGGGCTGATACGAGCCAGTTTCCATTAGAAAGTCCACCATGTAGGCATCACTCTCTTCAGGCGGATAGCCCTTGAGTCTTTGCCGCAATCACATAAATCAAAAAAATCTAATTCGGATCAAACTACTGCAGTTCAGCAGTCTTATCGATCAGGACATTTGGTAGGCCACGCGAGAAAGCAAAACAATTGTAAATACATTGTATCACATATACAGGGTGAATCTGAAAAAAAGGGCAAAACTTTAAGACAGAACGCAGCTATACAAGCAATATTCATCATAGAAAGTTTGAGCGGAAAGCGAACGGCGAGTTACTAGGTGCAATTGTAAATGGTTTAAAGAGGGTCGGTCCTCGCACCCAACGGCATTTTCTATCAAGGACTGCCGAGAAGATGACTGGTTATACGGACTACAAATTTCCAGGGCAATGGATTGGTCGAGATGGTCCCATAGCTTGGTCACCAAGATCACCGGATCTCTCGTGTTTGCACTTTTTTGTAGGATCATATGAAAAGCCTAGTCTACGACTGCCGAGTTGAAACCAATATGGATCTGGTCGTGAGGATCGCCGTCGTTCCTCGGGAAATGCCTAGTGTCTTCGAAAACGTGCGCAAATCCCTATTCAGCAGGTGTGATGTCTGCATTACAGCTGGCGGAAAGTCTTTTGAGCAATTTCTTTGAGCATGTACACTGCGGGGGGGGGATAGTTATATATCTCCCGTTCTACTGGCCCGATTGACGAAATTCAAATTGCGTTTTTCATGTCTCGAAAGCGCGACTGAGGATATATATAACCTTATTAAGTTATATATAGCATTGTTCTTATATAGGTATTTTGATACAAAATCAAACATTTTCTGAAATGACATGCCAAATTTTTTTTCTATATATCGATTCTACGACTCAAATTATGCCTAAATATTAAATTTTGTACAATATGGTGCAAAATTTACAGAGAAATTCAAAAATTGTTTCTTGGCACATTTTTTTTTTTTTTTTTTTTTTTTTTTCAGTTTGCGCCAAGAATAATTCACTTGGCGAACTTCTTAATTTATAGCAACCTATTTTCCTTTCCCTTTTCAACATTGTACACGAGCGGGTAAAAAAGTCATCGTTCATACTTTTAAAGAATTTTAACAAAAATAAATAACTCTAATTTTTTTGCAGGTGTGGCCTAGAAATACATCTACTTTAAGAAGATGTTAAAAATTTTATAGGTTTTAATACAAAACATTTTTCGAAAAATTTATAAAAAATATTTAAAATACAAATTTAAAAATTAATCATAAAAAAGTGCGTACATTTCGAATTATGGAAAAAGGAATCAAGTAAGTTTAATAAAAAAAAGAGATATTAATAAATATATGTCAAATTCAATTAACACTGAGCAGCTAAATTTTTAAAAATTACTGGTGCGATTTTTACAAAACTTGGCAGTTTGGCATAATTTGAGTCGTAGACTCGAAATATGGAAAAATTGTCATTTAAGAAAAGTCCGATTTTGTGTCAAAATACCTATATTAGAACACTGCTATATATAAATTTAATACATACCGTAAGTCGCGCTTTCGAGACATAGTTTGGTTTGGTTTATTTAATTACGGCCAAGCACACTAGGGCTATTTGCCTAAGGGGAGGGATGCCTTCGTGGAGGACTTTCTAAGGGAAACTGGCTCGTATACACGTTACACATGGGGAAAACCACGAAAACGCCCATGCAGCCAGCCCGTTCGCGGGATTCGAACCTCGGACCGAACTACCAGCGTTCAGCGACTTTACCGCTCGGACGCTGGTGGGCCGCTTTCGAGACATGAAAAACGCAATGTGAATTTCGTCAATCGGCCGAGGAGAACGGTAGATGATATTAAACTTTTTTTTTTTTTTTTTTTTTTCCCGGGCAATGTACATCAATTTACATTCCTGTTAATAAAATGCTTTCTAAAGTATCACCTCTCATTCTTGCGTTAATTCTTTAAATGTGAGAGTGGAAAACTACCTTTTAACTTCTCACCGCTTGCGTTCCGACCATATATTTCTATGACAAATATTACTCGTATAACTGCGTTCTATCATCCTGTAATGTTTTGCCCACTTTTTTAAGATTCACCCTGTATAAAGAACAATTTAATATAATTCCATCCTAAGTGATAAAAACTGCAATTAACTTAGGAAATAAAATATATAAAAAAAAAAATCACTCACCGAATACGAGCCTCTTCCATAGATCTTAATTCTCGATCCCTCTTCAGAACGCTAGTAATCTTTTCATACTCAGATGGCGAGAGATGACTTAAGTCAGCCATAATTTTAGTGGAAGGCGACTATCCTTTCGGTTAGAAATAATGCTCACAGAGGATTAACCTCAGCCTGGCCAAAGAGGAGGATCATAATGGTATGTTTTGTTCTGAATTAAACATTACCATGAGTATATGTTCAAACATTACTCTGAAGAATATGGCACAGCAGTATTAGTAATAAAATAAAGTACCTGTAAAATAAAAAAAAAAAAAAGTTTTAGTGCTTTCATAGACCACTTCATTTCGTATTAAAGTAAGTGTTAAAACTCACTTACATGTGCAACGATAAGAAGTAAACAACATTCTCTCGAATAAATTTCTTTATTCTTTAAAATACATAAATATATTAAAATGCAGAAAAAAAATTTATGTGTTGATAACATTTTCATTGTAAACATTTAAAAAATCCACATCTTACTAGATTCAAACCTAGAAAATCTTCCACGGAGACATACATCTTTCTTCAGTACAAGTCATACCACATTTATCATACAAGTTGTAACATATACCAGTGCTAGTCATAGCTATACTAGTCATACCACATTTTCAATGCTGATAAACACCATCTAATAAAGATTAAAAGTAATCAGATGTAATGTCAGATGTTCATTCACAAAGAGAACTCTAGAATACAGCATTTCAGTTTCGTGTAACATTCCCATACAGTACGCTGGATTACATTTGCCTCTTGATACTATCCACAACTGTATGCAATTATCTTTGCAAATTTAAGTAATTAATGGATCTGTTTCTAGAGGCATTTTGCCAGTTTGAATAATCCTAAATTTTCAACCGCACAGAGGCTGTATTGGATGGAATTGGATAAACTAGAGGCAAATCAAAGAACAGCATGTATCGCATGAATAATACTACGGTATTTACCATGTAAAGCACGCTGATGTAGTTCTTTATCAGCTAGTTCTAGGATATTTCTTTTCTGTACTGATAGTATATCACCTTCCCTGATGATCTACATGCAGTTTTTTTGCAGTGTTTCTGTTAATCAACTATAACAAAAACAATAAACGGACGACGAACAAATGTTAAATTTATAACGCGAAACATAAATTCTACAATTTAAAATGTATATACTTCAGGAGATTCCCTCGCACAATACATATACACAGTTACCAGAAATGACATAATCAATCGTACGATAACGTATGTAAACGACACAAGTATGATCCCACTCCCTGTAAATTACATGATCAAGGCTTGCAGGAATACTTCTAAAGTATTATTGCTGAAACTGCTTCAATATCATAATTTCGCTTAGCATTCTAAAGGCAGAAAATCAGACACAAACTTCCCCTGCATCAGGAGTATATCTGCTTGGTTTGGCTGGCTTATTACCACCAAAACCCAACTGTGGCCTCTTAGACCATGTTTACGCTCTCGGTGCTCTAACGTAATAGGCATAAACGCGTTAGCGTTATTCAATACTAAAAAAAAAGGGGGGGCTGATCTTTGGAATATGGTAACAGGTAGTTTGGCGACATTTTGGTAAGGCGATAAAGGTTACTAGCTAGGACTTTAGCAGTGTACATGGATATAGTCAAGAGTGTGCGCAGTGCCATTTTTGTGCAATTCTGGGATTTTTTTTAAGTGAAAATAGGTCGACGTGTACATGGATGATACCGTGTGTGTGCAATTCTTAAAAACGCAGCAAGCAGTTTGCGATTCTGCACTTTCTGCCAATTTGGCACCTAATCTAAGTCATTAAGCACTTTTGTTCTGTAAAATGTCTAGCATAAGCATAATTCGGCTAGCAGATTGTTGGAAAAATATGCTGAGTCAAAAAAAAAAAAAAAAAAATGCGCCTTTACTTCGTGAAAACAAAATGGCGTCCAAACAAAAACTAGCAGGTTGCTGTAGCAGGGCTGGTCGTCAAATTTTCGCCAAAAAATCGCCAAGTTACCATAATCCAAAGATTAACCAAAAAAGGATACTAATTCCGGATAAGAATATTCATACTTGTAACGTCTTAGGAACATGAATATGCATCAGGATTTATTCGACATTTAATCTAAATATATTCGTTTCTTCATTTTGTAATTCTGACGTCACAAAAATTACGAGATTTCTCCACTTATAATATATTTATTACATTTAGATTGAATTAAAAAAATTAAATAAAAAGGCCTATTTTTTCATATTTCAGTACGATGCAAATGTTATGATAAATTATTACATTCATGTCTCCCATTCCATTCCCACTGCTCGTATTATCCAGAATTAAATGTTGCAGAAGTAGCTAAAAATTTAATTTGGAGGAAGTTCTACCTTGCTAAATAATAGATTTTAAAAGAAGAACCACTTCGATCATGTTTGGAAGTCAGTTTTCCTTAGAAGGTCCTCCTCCATGAAGGCATTCGTCTTCTTAGGCAGATAGCCTTGTTATGCTTAGCCTTAATCAATTAACCAAGCAATCAACGCTTCAATTTAGCGTTTCCATTGCGTTTAATCACTTATTTAATCATAGTTATAAAATGAATGATAAAAATTGCAGTGCACTAACAAGAAAATTGACCAGATAGGAAACAAAGGAAAACAACATGAACAATTCACAAATGATTCTTGTCCTGACCGAAAGGAGGCTAGATTACGGCTCTTTGGTTCTTTAAATGTGGTTCGCATTGCCAGAAAGAGTAGTCATGTTTCTGAATTGTAATTTCAATAATTTGAAACAGAAACGTGATACAGCATGCTTTTTATAGCATTCATTAACTTATTTTTTTAATTAAGTTACTTACTCAGTTTCAAAATATGAGCCATATGCTAATTGTCAAATTAGCAGGCAAAATACGAATAATTCCGTTCCTGTGAATTTCTACTGCAGCGATGTGATTATTACAAAAAGGTTAGGATAGATTAGCTGATTAAAGCAAAGCAACCCGCGGGGTAACTGCCTATGGGTAAGGATGCCTTGATAGAGGTTTTTTAAAGGAAATCAGCTCGTATTCACGTTACACAAAGGAAAAATCACGAAAACTCCCATGCAGCTAACCCTTTCCCCAAGATTTGAATTCGGGTCGAACTACTAGTATCCCGAAAAATAGAACACGCGAGGTTTCAACCCAAACAGATTCTCGAACGACCAATGTTCGGTGATTTTACCGCTCGGACCCTGGTGGGCAGCAATTATTAAAGAAGGTAATGACTAGGCGGACAAAAGAACAGAAAAATACACTGTGGATACGTTGTTTTAATTATGCACCTTAAACACTACTGAACTAATATATGCCTAGATAAATCTTGTAGTGGCTAAAACGGAATATACCTTTTGATCTACTTCATAACTAATGAATTAATTAAATAGTTTGATTTCTGTAAATTAATTCTAACATCAGTCTTGTGGAAAAAATATTAATCTGTCATTTTTATTCAAAACCTATAATAGACTGCCAAATTATACTAAAACCATTTTTTACATTTTTGTAAAGACTGCTACGTCTTTCTCCATTTGCGATTTACTCGTATAAAATCCCAGTTATATTCAAAAGTAAAATGGAAAGCGGCAGAAAAAGCTTGGTTTTCGATCTGACAAAAGTACATTTCATCATATAAAAGTATAAAATTAGTATAGTCTAGAAACATACTTCTTCGAATATTGAGAAAGAGTTATTAAACTTATTTACATCCGTTTACAAACAATCGCATTAAATAAGAAATAGGAACTCCTTGTTAATTTGCTTCAAACGATTTTTCTATTCAGGTATTCTTTTGACGTGATACAACTATTTTATTGCCGTTCTTGAATACTTCTGAATCTAACACGTGGTTCCTAATAACATGAAGTTTAGCCATTCCCTAAGCAAATCAACACTGATAATTCACTAACGACAAAAATGAGGCCCAGATCAGATTGAAAAGATCTCCTGACTTGTAAAGACTAATGTTAAAATCAATAAACTAAACAACCTTTTCTTCTGAAAAGGAAACGAATCATTGGAAATGCTTACTACTTCAGTCCATTAACCAGTTAATGTAAGACATTTTCGTAGTACTTATAAAAGAAGGAAATAACATTTTCTGCTCACTGGTTTCAAAAATCCAACACACGAAATTTATCACTGGTCGACTAACTAAGCAGAGAGGGAAAAAAGAAAAAAAAAGTAAACTCGAACCTAATAACAAACTTCAGAATTTTCAGACTACCTTATTCATAAGCACAGGCAGGAAAACACTAATTTTTGAGACACAGATTGGCTGAAATTGACTACTATATCTACGATAAATCTTACACCTTCCTTTCATTGTATGTAAGGCTTTCTAATCAAGAAGGGCATGTAGCGTCATAAAACTGTCGATGATATCGAAGTTCAGATGTATATTTCGTCACAAAATCTCTTGGCTTCTGAAAGTTTTCATTGCTACCATGCTTCAAAACCATCATAATTACATGGAAACTAAATAAAGCCTAAAAAATTCTTCTCACCGAATTCTTTTTTTAACTTCTGGTCATCAAAATACAGACATTAGAAGCAAAAATATGAATTATACAACAGTTGCAAAAGAATTACTGAAGTTACAATATTCGAAATTCATCGCACTTCCATCAATTTTCATTAATTAAATATTTGCTAGTTTTATCACTAAAATCATATACATAAAGTACGCAGTTTATTCACAAACACAGCTGATAATATATGAAATATGAATAATTGCCATCATTTAGATGGTAAATTACGATATTTACCTGCTTAGAATCACAAAGATGAAAAAATATAAGTGATATACAGAGGTCCGATATTAATATTTCGTTTCACAGCATAATGCATAAATACATGACTTAGCATTAATTTCAGTTTCCACACTTAAATGATTTTAAAGTCTAAAAATTAACATTCAAATATAAAAATGTACTTTCAGAATCACTCACCGGAAGGAAATGTGCATACGCAGCTCAATTAGAAGAGCAAATTTAAAAACAACGAGGGCTTAACAAGCATCTGGGCGACTTATCGCAACGGAAATGCCAACTGCAAGGAAACTGGTCAAGCAGTCAAGGGAATATTTCAAGCGAAGTTTTAATTAACGCAGAATATATGATGAGAAACATTTTTCGACTTAACACAGACAGACATTTGGGTTCAGTTCGTAAAGCAGATTTAGACAGGAGAAGCAGCTATTGTTAAACAGGTCTGCCACCTTCATTAATAAGAGCCTGAAATGTTTTTATGAATACAAATGGTTATTCTACAATGGACCAATTCGAAAGCGCGACCTTATTTTCTTGATTTTAAGTACCGGTTAATTTCGAGGTCAGAAACAATCGATCTTAGTAAGCCGTTTAAATAAACGAAATTCTAAAGCATCTAAATGATATTTCGCTTGTTTAGCTGCATCTGACAAAAGTCAAATTAATAAAAACTGTAAGTTAGAGAATAGCCTACAGATATGTGCTTAAAAGTTATTTCAACATTCAGGACAGATATCAAAATACACAAAATAGATTCAAATAGAGCTGAATAAGAACTCTTTAGATCTCAGTTATCAATGCAAATGCACAAGAAAAATAAACTGAAAACTAACAACAGAATTAATTTAAGAAAAGTGAAAATTGTAACTTTTTAAAAATATAGTAAAATAACTCCTCAACTGATATCATGAAATTTTCAAAGCATATACGGTGTGGTAAAGATATGTGATCGAGTTCAATTATATAAATCCCCAATAATATCCCATTTCATTGAGTTCAATTATATAAATCCCCAATAATATCCCATTTCATTGAGTTCAATTATATAAATACTTAAATTAGTTTGTGAAGAATTAAAAAAAAAAAATGACTACATACCGTTGGCTTAAAACACACAATTCACTTTAAACATGTTTTTCTTCTTAATTGACGTTTAAAAAGAAGTCACTTTCATTCATTTTTCATAAGTTTTAATAACAGCACACAGCTGATTTGTTTACTTACAATCAACGTTACAGTGTATAAACAGAGTTGAAATAATCATTAGAATTAATTATTAGCAAATTTTTTTTGTTTGCTTTGTTTTCTCAGCTGCGCATTTTATATGTTACGCAAATACCATACATAACAGAGTCAGTATTCAGAATATATTAAGTACTCACATGTCTTACTTTACAGAAAGCAAAAGCCCCATTTTTCAGTTTAAGTTCAGCTTTCTTTGCAAAATTTGTCTACTTGAAAATCATAATCCATTGCTCAAACATCACTTATACTTCTGCTTTGTAGGTGTAAGACTACAGCTAAGAGTTTATATAGTACAGCTCAGTGGTCGGCAAACTCATTAGTCAACAGAGGCAATTATCAACAGTTTAACGACTGAAATCTCTTTTGCGAGCTACATTTTTTAAACTTAAATTATATAGGTAGGTATATTATTATTCACTTATAAGGCACTCTTACGCTGGCTTTTACGAAGAACGTCTTCAAACTGATCAACGTACATCCGCTGAGGTCAACCCTCTTCCAGCTTTCCCATCCACACTTGTCTTGTATACTCCTTTCGTGTATCTTCTTTCCTTCAACCTCTATATGTCCAAACCATCTTAACATACCTTTCTCAATCCTCAACACTACATCTTTTTTTCACTCCACAATACTCTCTAAAATTAACTTAATACTTCAATTTTCAAGTCTAAGTTAAACTATATAGGTATGCAGAATAAAACCTGATTTTTACACTTATTAACGATACGACTTATTGATAAAATACGAGTAAAACTGTAAAGTATACAAAAACTTAAACCATGGATAATAACGAACAAACACTAATTCCTTGCTCCATCTCCTTGGAAAGTTTGTGTAACTCAGGTTTGTATAACTCAGGTTTGTATGCTGTTGCTTTTAATTTTAAGCATGATTCCAATTTCTCATCAATAGGACGACTTCTCAATTTACTCTTGATGAGGTTCATGCTTGAAAATGATTGTTCGCAGAATATGTAGACTCGAATAAAGAAAGAACAGCAAACGCTAGTTTTTTTCAGCTGATTATACGAGTCAGGAATACTATTCCACATTTTAAAAATCAACATATCTTCCTTCTCCAGGTCTTTCAAAGAAGACCACTTATGCTGTGAACTAAGCTCACAATTCGTTTTTCTCCGGTGTTTCTATATGAGCGCTAAGACGTTCAAAGTTCCGGAATTCTTTGTTTTTTAAATCCATCAAGTGGATTTCAAAGTTACCAATGTCAATATTAAAGGGAGTAAAATTTAGTTCTGTTACAGTAGTATTAGGAGGATTTTTAACAAAGGCTAACGTCGCTTTGCTGTTTCTGAATTCCTGAAACTTGCTGAGAAAAACTCTGATATTTAAAACTGTTGTTTTGAAATAGCAAATATCAATATCAGAATTACTTTTTGGCGACATTTCAACAGGCTTGGAAAGTGAATCAAAGATTCTCTCTCAAAATCTTAAACAAAAAGAGATTATTTGTTTCCAAATGAAATAATTTCTTCTAACGTCGAAAAAATTGTGTCTCCTTTTCCCTGTACGTTTTGATTAAGCTGATTTAAATGAGACGTAAAGTCTAACATGAAATAAAATTTTGTAATCCACTGATCGTTCTTCAGTTCTGGATAATAAACACCCTTTTCAAAGAGAAATGCTTTAATTTCTATTATTAAGGACGAGAAACGTAAAAACGCTTCCTCTTGATAACCAACATACATTGTTATGCAGCAGCAGATCTGCGTACTCTCCATTTCAACTAAAAATTCGATAAACTGGCGATGGTTTTTAAAACAACTTTTTACGTATTCGTCATCTGCATATGGTTTCCCTCTTCTAGGAATCTCTTGATTAATAAAAAAAACTTGCAATATTAACATCATTGAAAGATTCTATCCAGTAATTAAATACAAAACTTTATTTTTCTTGACTTTTCTGAAGTTCCTCAACTGCTTTCTTCCTTGCATCACCGCCAGGATATTTAGTACTAAATGGCGTGTTTAGTTTTGAAGTGTCACTACACATTTGATTTCTTGTTTAGCCAATTTTTCCTGACAAATAAAACAGGTCGGAAGGCCATTTGAGTTTCGAATTAAACGCGCAAGTCTCAGTTCATTCAACTTAAAATTCACAGTGGATTTCACCTTCCGTTTTTCTTTGCTTCTTCTTTATAGCTATATTGTTACGAGAAGGAATAAATTGGGCCAGAAATAGCGAAATGATTGAGGAACAGCAGTAGGTAAGAAAACAATGGTATCTTGGGACACAAGGAAACAGGAAAGCGGCGTTTGCATCAATGAATTCATCCCTTCCCCTTTTAAGTGGTTTTTACATAATACAAGGGGAACCTCTTGCATTAACCACTCCAGAACAAACCTCCTGAATGATTGGCTCACAAATGTAAAAACACTCAGCCAACTCGTGGACGAATTGTGGGCCCATCGCCGGAGGTGCAGGAACCTCGGCTCAGGTGAAATTTATTTCGCTGTTCTTTGGGCTCCCCGCTTGTCATCGCTATCCCAGAATAACAACATCAACAATTTTCTATCAGCTATGATTTTCTAAGATGAGACGGCAGCAGAAGGTGATACTCACAGGTGATAAGCAATTATCTAGTGAAGAACACCATAGGAAGTTTGTGACGAAGTACGAATCGACGGAGACAAAATTTGCTACATTAAGCTACTGTCAGCAAAGTCCAGCGAAGGAAGTCTTCAGGGATGCGTGGGGTAAATGCAGTGCGACAAACGTCTATCGAGTCGGGAAAAAGAAATGTCAATAATGCGAAACCGTTACACATAACAATAGATCTTTCCATAAACAGTGTACAAGCAATTAGGAGACAATCGTATAAAATAAGGCACATTACAAAGAATAATGAGGGCTAAAGGCAGAAGCTACGCCAGGTAGCAGACAAAATTACATCAGGATACATACACTGGTGTGCAAAAATTAAGGACGAGACGGTTTTTTCAATCTTTGTACAAAAGCTTTCCAAATCAACACATTTAATACCGTAAGATCCCCAATACGTAAGGACATGAGTAATGTAAGCAACACTTACTAAAAGAGAAATCAGAGGGATAAAAAGAAGCTTTATTGAAAAAGTAGCATGGAGCGCAATGCGACTGAAGGCCGAAACATCCCTGTGATGGGTGTCCAGCAAGAAACATGCGGTCTTTAATAGGGGATATGATCTTCCCTGACGGCTAGGCAGGTTTCACAGCGTCTCCCCATGCTGAGAATGAGGGTGTCAATGAGTTGCTGAGGCATTGCTGCCCATTCGTCTTGCAGCGCCAATCGAAGCTCCGGGATCGTTACTGGTGGTAAGGTACGAGATGCCAAGCGTCTGCCTAGAAAATCTCATACATGCTCGATGGGATTGAGATCCGGAGATCGTGCCGGCCAATCCATACGTTCAATATCCTCACTCTCTAAGAGCTGTTCGGCAGCTACTGTGCGATGATATGGTGCATTGTCGTCCATGAAAAGGAACTGCGGACCCATAGCGCCTCTAAAAAGACGCACATATGGAAGAAGAATCTCGTTACAATAACGGGTCCCGTTGACTGAACCTGCGTCGAAGATGTGAAGGTCTGTACGACTACCAAGCATGATGCCTCCCCAAACGAGAACACCGCCACCTCCACACCTGTCCCTTTCAATGATGTTCGAGGGATGATTGCGGCTTCCCCGCTCTCTCCAGATGAGTATGCGATGAGAATCGCTACTCAGATTGAATCTGCTCTCATCTGTAAAGAGACTCGTCCCCATTCATTGTCTCTCCAATTCCGGTGTTCCCGGCACCACAAAGAACGCCTTCTCCGATGGGCAGGCGTTAGAGGTACACACCGTACAGGGCGTCGTGCAAACAGACCACCACCGTGCAGTCTTCTGGCCACGGTAAAACGCGATATCGGTCGTCCAGTCGCCTGTGTCGTGTGTCTAGCGATTTCTCCCGCTGTCTGCCGCCTGTTTCTTCTGGCCTGTAAGGCAATATACCGGTCATCTGCGGGTGTGGTTCCTCGTGGACGACCACTACTAAACCCCCGGATAGCTGTTCCTGTAGTTTGAAATTGTCTCCAAAGTCGTGAAACGATGCTGTGAGCAATTCCGAACTCTGCAGCCACACTTGTCACACTGCGGCCTTCCTCCAACTTCCCAATGATTCGACCTCTGGTAAGCATCCAGATGTCGTCTAACAGATTGATTATTCGCCATTTCTCGCTGAGGCAGCAAATCGGTGTGATTTTAACTGCTATACGGCGTGCAATCTCTTTTCCAGAAATACTGATCTTACACCGACAACATGCTTCATACTACTCAGATACTCCCCCATTACGTCTACCTGCATATCTGCGCATGTGCTACCGTACATCACCTTACTTGATCTCCTGATTGGTCTTTCTGTCCGCTCTGCCTCTTCGTTCAGCTGATATGCTAATTTTTCGACTTCGTCCTTAAATTTGCACACCAGTGTATTACAAAACAGTACATAGCCACAAGAGGAACAAAGCATACACATATGTAGGAGAGACAATGTAATTATTTTAAGCTTAATTTACTCGTATAGCAATTTTAAACATACATGTACATATATACACATATATTATAAATTTATTGGCTCAAAAGGACTATCAATTTCGTTTTGACATTTTGCGTTGAAAACATTAAAAGGCTGTGTCACTTTCCAAATTGTTGTCACCAAGTATTATCGCCCTGTGTTATATTTAAAGAAATTAAATAATGAAGAAAATGCATAAATGTATGTATATTTCTCGCACTGTGATAAGACAATGGTACCTAGAGCCATTAAATTTTGAATAACGTAATCCTCCACCCGAATATGGGCCCATCTGGAAGCCCAAATTTGGAATTTGTTTTGTTATTTATTTTATATTTTGTAAAACTTTAACGAATTAAGTTTAAGAAACTCAACGATTTCAAAGCGAGCAATGGTAACACTGTACAGGAAAAAAAAAAAAAAAAAAAAAAAAACATTATCTTTAGCGCTCGAGATTGTGTATCGGAAATTCTAAAGATATGCTCTTTTTACATTATTTTTTGATACTGCTGCTGTATTGAATTTTATGGTTAAGTGCGAAGAGCATGATATTTAATAAATAAAGGTAACACACAAAACTTTAAAAAAAAAGCCCCTTAAAAAGCTGTAATATAAAATTTGAAAAACCTTCATATTTTATTTTTTTCAAATTTATTTAATTATTTTATTATATATATATATTCCAGTGCCAAAATATAAATGAATAGGCATAAAAGTATTCATTTCATAGTTTCATGCGTATTCTTTTCTTTTCGTTTTTTGAATACATTTAGAATATTATAAAAGCAAAGAGTACAAAGAAGCAGGACATTATAGAGACAGAATCAATTTAGATACCTGATGGCCGCTTGCGGCTAACAATGCTATTGTAATCAAAGTTAGGCTGGCGAATGGATGGATTTAGTTCTCTGGGAATCTTACTAAAGAATGAGTCAGCTAATTTAGTCATATAGCAGTGATTATTTCTAAGTATAGCAGTGATTATTTCTAGTATTTCTAAGATTTTAAATTCTCGGTGTATTCCGAGTTTCTAACAAACCAGCGGCAACCCACCGCCTGGCGGAGAACAATATTTTGCGCAACCTGCAACTTATTCAGAGAAGTCTTGTAGGCGTATGCCCAGATAGAATAGGCGTAAGGACGCATCATCGACTTATAAATGAGTATTTTATTATCTGTTGAGAAAGCTCTGTTCCGAACAATTAGGGGGGAGGGGACAAGTATAAGTTTACATACTCGGGACTTGGCTAAAATCTCTGTAATATGAGAGGATGATGTGAGGCAGTACCCAAACATAAAGCCAAGATATCGGGTCTGCTTAGTGCAGGGGATAGGTGTCATCCTTGCGCAGGGACCATGCTAATCTTCTCTGTATCGTTCCAAAATTTTAGTAAATGTACTGCCGAAGCAAGTACAGGGGATAGGTGTATTATACATTTACACATGAAGGTTATTATGAATGCTTCTTTTCCCGGTAAATAAGCATAAGATCCACATTGATTTTAGTCTTCCAGGCAAGTAGCCAGGATTCCAGTGCATGGATTTAATTTTGTAACGCCTGTATGACTGAGCTTTGAGAAACGTTTCGTGATAGAATTGCAGTATCATCAGCATACAATGCTAGAACCTCGGTCATAAAACAAGTGCGTCGCATCGAGGCAGGGATTTAATCGAACGCGTATATCAGTGTTAATCTTGTCGGTACATTTGTACTAAAATCAGTACAATGGCCCGTTTATCAATACATCAGTAAAAATCTTACTAGAATCAGCACAATGGCAATTTTAACCTGATATACCAAATAAAGTAAAAACGAAATTTCGTGTCAAACTATCTGGGTTTTTAGTTCTTAAACATTTCCAATTTGAATTTTTGTCATATTATATGCAACCCAAACATCGTCTATGTATTTTATGTTGCATAAATTCAGTTGTTAGGAAAATTTTTGTTTCAGACACTGGAAAAATTTGAAAAGTCTAGAAGTTGAAAATCCTGATATTCTGAAACTAAATTTCATTTTTAAGTTACTTGGTTTCTCATTCAAGTTAAAACTGCCATTGAAAGGTATATTAATTAAAAGCATTTCACTAGTTAAAATTTGGCATATGACAACTACTACGATAGCACAATTTGATGTATAATCAGTACAATCAAAACGTCGAAATCGGTATAAAAAATTTCCTAGGAATAACCATTGGCGGAAATGTTTTCAGCTGTTTTCAGGCTTCTGTATACTTTGACGGCCTCTGTGTTGTATTTTTTTATTTGTTAGATTTCTCTGGCTTTTACATGCGCTCGTCCCGCATGTGCTATTTTGTGGAAGAGCCACATTTAGCTCGCGAGCCACGGTTTGCCGACCACTGGTATAGCTCATTTATATAAAATGACTTAATATAAATATTACATCTAGGGAAGGAATGATTTTTCTTATTTGAGCTATTTAAAATTTGTTCTTCATATTTCAAAAGGATAGGTTCTTACATTGCATGAACATGACAATATGGTTTTTCAACTGACCACTTCCACCAATTTTCTCAGTAAAATGCTCCTTTATTATCGAAAAATGCATCTTTAATTAAATTTGAAGTCTTCCTTTATCCCCTATCACTTACTTCGAACTGTGTTCCAGTAGCCAATTGATTTATCCAAGACACGCTGGTATTAGCATTAAACTGTGTCCGATAATTGAATGAGTTGCTTGCATGACGTGTTCAGCATGTGCAAAAGCTTGCCTACATCTACCACAGGATATAAAAAAAAGTCAAAATAATATCTGCTTGGACAGCGAATATAAAACAAGGCTATCTCTGTAACAACATGATTTTGCATCGTCATTAGGATTTTCTAAAGCAGAAAACGTGAAAAATGTGCACTGCCCTGGCTGGGACTCGAATCTTGGACGTTTCGAATGGACGTTCTTGGACTTGGACGCGTATGCTTCCAATTACACCACGAAAGTATGTGGAAAGGAGAGAGGAAATACCTTATAAATTGTGTCAATATTCGTTTTTCAAACACTTGTTTGTAAAAGCAATAGCTAGTGCGCGAGCGTAGCATCAAACCACAAAAATAAATTATAGGTGTCCTCCAATCTTCTTACTCCTATCTCTACATCTCTACATATCATGTTTCAACTCCGTCAAAGATTAGCAATTTTGAGGATCAGCGCAATCGCTAAAAATCTGTCTAGACAGCTGAAACGTTTGGTTTGGTTTCTGTGATTATGGCAAGGCCTCGAGGGCTATCAGCCTAAGGAGATGGGTGCCTTCGTGGAGGACCTTTTACGGGAAACTGGCTTATATACACGTTACACATGAGGAAAAACACGAAAATGCCCATGCAGCCAGCCCGTTCGCGGGATTCGAACCTCAGACCGAACAACCAGTGTTCAGCGACTTTACCGTTCAGCCGTTGGTGGGCCACAGCTGAAACGATTTCACATTTAATGATCATTGATGACTAGCTTCACTAGCCAATCAGAATGGTTTGAAAGATCATACATTTCGGTCCAGCTTGAAAACAGTAAACATGACAGCTGGCAAATGCTCGTTGAATTATCAATTTTTATAGTCAGATAAGAAAAGAAGCTTTAGCAACTGGTTTTTTTTTTCCTGAAATTAACTGTAATGCATTCAAAATTTCCCGTTTTCTATTTCACATGCACAGATTGTAAAGAAACTGCAGATTGTGCAGATCTACAGACTGCCAAATTGAAAAAAAATTATCTACTTACTGCATTTACAAAGCTAATAAGTGTATTGTTTCAAAGCTTCCCCAGTGGCCGAGAGGCTAAAGACAGCTGAATACTCTGTCCCGGGTTCGAAGAGGCGCACGTGCTAGCTGCATGGTTAGTATATATGATTATGGCAAAGCCTCGAGGGTTATCTGCCTAAGGGAAGGGATGCCTTAGAGGAGAACTTTTTAAGGGAAATTAACTGGTATACACGTCGCACACGGGAAAAACCACGAAACTGGCTGGTATACACGTTAAACACGGGGAAAAACACGAAACGGCTGGTATACACGTTACACATGGGTTAAACCACAAAAACGCCCACGCGAATTTACCTCTCGGCCGCTGGTAGGCCTGCATGGTTGGTATTCGTGGTTTCTCCATGTATAACGTGAATACGAGCCGTTTCCTTTAAAAAGTCCTCCACGAAGGCATCCCTCCTCTGGGGCACATAGCCCCAGTGTGCTTTGCCGTATTTAAATAACCAATCAGAGTTCTTTAATAAAGTATTATCGCGCCGACCGCGAAAGGTGGCGATGATCCCGCAAAGTTGCTCCAGTCGTTCTTCAGCAATTCTGAAGAAATTTACACCTCCTTAAACAACCCTCCACTAGATACGCCTAATGATGTAAGCTTCACGGTGCAAGAGCTTTTGAATACTCTCAGAAAATTACCAAAGAAGAAAGCACCGGGTCCAGACGGCCTGAACTATCCTATTATAACTACGATCATAAACTCCAACCTTCTATTTTTCATTAACTACTTCAATAAGCTTCTGGAAACAGGTACCTTCCCTCGTCCGTTTAAAATAGGCCAAATTGTCCTTTTTCATAAGAAAAACAGAGATTCACATGATCCAGCTGCATACAGGCCGATATGCCTACTTTCTTCATTGGGCAAAATCTATGAGAAGATGTTAATAAACAGGCTGCGTTTCCACATCTCACAGAATAACCTACTGCACCCACGTCAGTATGGCTTCAAGGCAGGTTCTTCCACCATACACGCATTGCATGACGTCCACGCAGCAATAACTGATAATAGGCACCATGGCTATCATACGGCATTGGTCAGTATTGATCTTAAATGTGCCTTTGATATGCTGTGGTGGCCTTCCATTAAAAAGTCATTGAGAGAAATGAAGTGCCCGCTCAATTTATATGCTACGTTATGCCATTACCTATCTGATAGAACACTCATCATGCCGCACAACAGCGGGATTATCGAAAAATTACAAACAAGAGGTTGCCCTCAAGGGTCATGTGCGGGCCCCTTTCTTTGGAACGTCACTTTTAACACCATTCTTGCTGATCAATGGCCGGATCATACGCGAATTTTTGCGTATGCAGATGATGCAGCTTTCGTGGTACGAGGACGTACACGAGAAGAATTACAAAAACCATAGTAATGAAATTTGTAGTCTTTTCCACTCCCGCTGCCAAAAGATAAAACTTGAAATTGCCCACAACAAATCCCATATCATGCTATTTCCAAAGAAAGGAGGTTCCCTGAACAGGCAACCACGTATTTGCATAAATAATCAAAGAATTAAAATAGTTAAAACCCTCAGATACCTGGGATTAACTTTTGACACTAAGCTCAACTGGATAGCACACGTCTTAGAGCTTAAAAAGAGAACAATGCAAATTGCAAATCTACTACGATCATTCCAAGGTTACAATTGGGGTTTAAGTGCGCATATTCAGAAAATACTGTACCTTACAGTAATAGAAAAAATTGTCACGTATGGTGCAGCAGTATGGGCCTTCCCGATGCAGGGCAGGAAAATACGCCACCTCGCTACCATACAGAGGCCTTTTGCGCTCTTAATTACACGAGCATTTCGGACCACCTCTACGGCCGCCATCAATGTTATGTCTGGGTTGCTCCCACTCCATCTCAGAATTGAAGAGGAGGCAATCATCCAAACAGTCAAACAGCTTCGTAAACAACTTACCTATGATGATTTTACTTATCAAGTGGACCAATACGAACAATTAGTCCTTCCTACTGCCGTGCATCCCGCGCTGAAAGGCATCGGAGTCAAAATTCTCTCCAATACTGCCGAGGATGAGCCAGCAAGCAATGTAAAAATCTATACAGATGGTTCCAGAATAGAAGATAATGTGGGGCTGCTCATTCATTGTTACCACTGAAAATTGTTGTAATTCATACCTGGCAAGCACATTTGCAATCTAACAATAGTGTTTTCCAGAGCGAGGTCGTAGCAATAAAGCATGCAATAGATTACCTAATTAATATGAAAATACCCACAGGCATCATTCTCACAGACAGCTTGTCCTCTTTACATGCACTAATCAATCCCGACCACCGATCTACCATTATCCAAGACATTCAGCGCGCACTCTTAGGGATCATCAAAGAAAAAATTATTATTTCAAATGGGTTAAGGCCCATGTCGGCAATGCTGGTAATGATAATGAGCTTGCTGATATAAGATGGCTAAGGAAGCAGCTGTCAACTCAAATGTTCTCAATCTTACCATACCATGGCCATATTCCCATCTCAAGAGAATTACCAGACTACGTGCCATATCGAAGTGGCAACAAGAGTGGGACTCCAGTCCTACTGGACGAAGAACAGCATACCACATTGCATATGTCGACCCAGACAGAAATATAGGCAACCCTTTGTTGATTAGATACATAAGTGGCCATGGTC